GAATGCTCGGATAAAGGTCTGGTACGAATTTTGGGGGGGGCACCCACGCCATTTTTTTTTTTTTTACATTTTGTCGTGGGAGTTCCCTTCAAAATCCATACCAGAACTGAAGGGCTTGGTATGAATGGGAGGGGGGACCCCACGCCGGTTTTTAATTAATTTTTTTAATTGCCGTCAATTCTTTCACATTAAGCTGTCAATGGGGACCACCGCTGTGAAACGTTTCAGAATAAATTTTTTAACATTAAACCTCATCTGCTATGTATTTGCCAACTCCTTAATTTTCTTGAGGTCTTTTTGTAAGGTTTCTATATCCTGCTGTGACATTATTGTCCTTAGTTTTGTATCATCAGCAAACAAGGAGATTGAGCTATTTATACCAACCTCTATATAGTTTACGAAAAAATTTAAAAAGAATGGCGGTCGACTCTTGTCTAGGTGGCATTCCTTTGCTTCTGTACTTATTGAAATCTTTTGTTATAAATAATGTTAAAAAAAAAAAAAGTCTACAAAAAAGAATTGGTCCCAGGATGGAGCCCTGGGTACCCCACTTACCACTCCAAACCAGTCTGAATAAATACTATTAATCGCCAACCTTTGGACGCGCCCCTGTAACCAGTTTTCTATCCATTTACAATCCCTCTGGTCCATGCCTGCAGACTTCAGGTCGTAAAATTAAGCGTTTATGAGGAACTGTATCAAATGCTTTAGCAAAATCCAAGTACACCACATCCACGGCCCTTCCATCATCTACATGGCAGCTCGCTTCCTCATAAAATGTTAACAGGCTGGTTTGGCAAGAAAAGCCATGCTGAATACTACTAATGATGCGGTTTTCATTTGCAAAATCTTGGATATGGTCCCTTATTATCGCCCCTTCAAAAATGTACAAACAATTGCTGTTAGAATGACTGGACTGTAGTTTCCAGAAATGTATCTCTGCCCTTAAAGCATTAGTAACACGTTAGCCCTTCGCCAATCAGCTGGTACGATTTCTGTTAGTATGCTGTCCATAAAAATTAGGAAAAGGCCTGGCAATAATCTGAATGAGTTCTTTGAGGACTCTCAGGTGTAAGCCATCTGGTCCTGGAGATTTATTTGCAGTAAAATTTTAAAGCGGAGTTCCAGCTGAAAGAAAAAAGTAAAAAGTCAGCAGCTGCAAAAACTGTAGCTGCTGACTTTTATAATACAGACACTTATCTGCCCCTCAGTCCAACGGTGTCCTCACCATCGCTGGTTTCACCGGCCGTCTTCTCTCCCTGGCGCTGTCATCTTCAGTGTGGGCACCCGGCTGTGACAGCTTGCAGCTTCACAGCCAGGTGCCCGCTGTGCATGAGAGAGAAGCAATGCACTTTGTGAATGGCCCCGTAGTCTTATGGGACCTGTCGTGTCCCACAAGACTACGGGGAGGGGGGATTACTACTTCCACTTCCGATCACCTTAGGAAATCGCAGCGGAAGTGGGAGCAGGTATCTGTCAAATTCATGTACCCGCTCCCCAAAGATGCCAATCTTAATGGGGAGTGGGAAACAAAGACTTAAAGTCAGTGCCACATATTAGTGCTGCCTTTCAGTGCCCATCAGTGATGCCTGTTCATGCCCATCAATGCTGCCTGTCAATGCCCACAAGTGATGCCTGTTCATGCCCATCAGTGCTGCCTATCAGTGCCCATCACTGCAGCCTCATTAGTGCACATCATTGAAGGAGAAAAATTACTTAATTTACAAAATTTTATAACAGAAACTAAGAAGAAAAAAAAAAACTTTTTTCCCCAAAATTTTCAGCCTTTTTTAGTTTGTTTTTTTAGTTTGTTTAGCAAAAAATAAAAACCCCAGTGGTGATTAAATACCACCAAAAGAAAGCTCTGTCTCAAAAAAATGATAACAATTTCATATGGGTACAGTGTTGCATGACCACGCAATTGTCAAAGTGCGACAGCGCTGAAAGCTGAAAATTGGCCTGGGCAGGAAGGGGGAAAAAGTGCCCGGTAGGAAAATTGTTAAAGGCAGGCATTGATTGTGTATGTATTAGGATGGTGGCATTTTCTCTCGATGTGATAATTGTCATGCTTTCCACTATAAAATCTTGAGTTAACTGTTCCTTTTGAGACTTAAGAAAGTTGTAGTGTACTACACAATACAAGGATAATCAGCCTAGTATAGCAGATATGATCCCATTTATGCAGAGGATGCTACAAGGGGGTCTGATAAAACACCTTCAACAAAGGTTTTTACAAGGGAGTGCAAAGTCAAAGGCCTTTAAAAAAGCATGGATAATGCAGATACCTGGCCTTTGGTGGTGCTAAGAGCTAGACCAGGGGTATTGAATTAAAATTCACAGAGGTCAACCAGGAAAATTTTCCTCCAGCAGAGGTCCAAACCACATTTTTTTCAGCCCTCTCCTCCTTTATCACAATCCCTTAAATCAGTGTCCCCAGTGCCCCCCCACAGATCAGTTTCCCCTTCACAGTAGTATTCCTGCACATCATACCCCCCCCCCCCTTCACAATAGTGTACTCAACCCCCCTTCACTCGCAGCTGTCCTCAATTCCCCTCCAAATTATCCCCCACAGTACTGTCTTCTGTCCCCTTCAAATCACCCCCCCCCCCCTCCCCCACAGCGGAACTGTGCCTCCTTTACATCCCACGACAACACTGCCATCCCTACACACACACCAACACACCTGCCCTGGGATTGAATTGACTGTGCTTGCACCAGGCAAAGTAAGATATCCATGTACATTAATAAATCTTTCTGGAAGCGGTCTTTCTTCCTTTCAACAAGGTGGGAATCACAGACACAGCCATGCCAGTAAAGCCAGAGACCATGAAACAAGGAGGAATTTCAGGTCTTGAGATAGCAGTTCTAGCCTGTTGGCAAGAGGCTAGGGGTCATCTGCTAGAAGTCTGAGAAAGTTTGCGTACCAGGATCTTTGATCAGAGAATCTAAGGCCAGAGCTAGAGGATCTATGGTTCTGGCTAAAAACAGAGATAGCTTGTTGTATCAAGAAGCTGGGATGTTCACATCCAGAGTCACCCATTTTTGGTATATCAACTTGACACATCTGGATAAAAAGATCATTCCCCTTGGTCCAAGTGGTGCGACTGAGATAATGCACCTTCCAACTGTCCACTCCTGGGAGATGGACCGCAGAAAATTGCTGGGGAAGTGAATTTCTCACCATAACAGAATCTGGTTTGATTCCTTCAAGGTAATCCGGTTCCTTGAGGCCCCATAATGGTTAAGATGTGCCACTGTGGTAGACTGCCCCCAAAATGGGTGTCCCTTTAGAAGGGAGGTCCAAAGCTGGGGGGACAACCTGTCTGCTCTGAGCTGTAACATGTTAGTGGGGAATCTGGTTTCATAATTTGACCATGTTCCCTGAACGATAAAGGATTGGTAGACTCCACACCAGCCTAAGAGACCTGTTGAAATTTTCTAGATTTCTAGGGGAGTGAAAACCATTTCAGGAGTGACTCAATGATTATAAAACTGCACACATTCTGTTCATGAACATATAATGCTTTGCAAATTTATGAAGATCTCTGTGCCTAAAAGGAGTACAGCAAGCTTTTTGCTGACAGAGGCAATGAGCTAATCAACATTAGCAAGCATGCTGCTTGAAGCTCCCTCTTCAATATAGTGGCAATGTGGGGGAGAGAAATAAACTTCAGCTTCCTTCAACACTGCCCTCTGATCCTGAACTCTCTAGGACTGGCACATCGGGTCTGACTCTAGCTGAGAAACAAGAGCATGAGAAGGAGCGGGGTGTCTATGAGATCTGGACAAAATGTCTGTATTAAACCCATAATCTGTCCAAGGAATGTGACATAGATGCAGAAAATTCTGCTTCTGTCAAGTAGACTGCTTGTTGCTTAAAAGTAGAACCAGACGCCAAGACCAATGTTAAAACCAGGTCATGCTCCAGTGCAAGGCACGCATTGTTACTCTGAGCCAGGTGTTGTGAGGGCCTTCAGCAGTGCGAATATTCACCTGCTGTTTAGAATTGGCTTCCTTTTACCTTGCCTTCATCGTAGCTACAAGTGAGGGTACTACCCTCTGGGGTACTCATGGAGTAGAGTGAAGGAGATAGCATTAGCATGTCTGCTCTGCAACAAATCCACCTGACACTAAACTTTGAGTGGTTGAATTTTAGCACCAAGTCTGAAAGGTCTGCACTGTGAAGGGAATACATTCCAAACATAGCGTCAATTTTAGAGTAATGGTCAGAAATGCAGGGTGACTCCATCTTACCTGTCCACAATTTTGGACTGTATACAAAGTCCAGGTTTAGCCCAACACGGTGGGCAAATAGTTCAACAGGGTCTTTAGGAACTTGGCTCCATAGAGATTGACTATGGCCCTGGACCTATATAGCACCCTGCGGCTAACAAAGCGTTGCACCAAATGCCAAAATGTATGGTTAAGATATAGAAATATACTTAAGCAAGCCACATTTGAAGCCCTTCATTTCTTAATCATGAAGAAAATCAAAATTTGTATTTAAAAACCAATTCCATCATAAGCTTAAGGTTTATCTCCTGCTCTCTGTAAAGTAACAGCACACAATGCCTTGCAAAAGGTTTCAGACTTTTTTTCACTAAGCCTCTGCATGTTTGCCACAGAAGACACTTGGGACTCACAATATCATAATAGCTAAAAATTAAATGAGGTACGTTTTAAATGTCACTTACATTATCCATACTGTCCTAAACTAAAAACCAGGTTTGCCTCAAAAACAAAAATAAGTAATATATTGGATCAAAAAATTAGCAAATAAAGAGCTAATGCAAAGCATTCCAACAGTTGTTACATCACCAATAATTGGATAAAACCTTTAGAGGGTATGCTTTGGGGGGGGGGGGGGGGGGGGGGGGGGGGGGAGAGATATCATGCCTTGCATACTTTTTTTTTTTTCCATCTGCTCTGATAAATCTGTTGGGAATGAAAGCAATAAACAGTAATAATTCCAATATTATGAAGCCCAGTATGGAACTGACCTGCTGGTGTAACCATATGGAACTTTTCTATATGGGTCCTCCCGAGCACCATACACAAAATTCCAGTAACTACTCCGAGTGTCTCTGTAGCCAGGATCATAGGTTTCAGGATAGCGATCCCATCTAGAGTGGTCTATGAGAAGAACCAGATAATACTATCAAATCTAACAGGCAATACAAATTAGAAGTATTATTCACAGCGTGCATTAAAGGAAGAAGCCAACAAGTAACTCACCTCCATATTCATACTGATTTTGGTAATAATCCGCATAGTAATTGGCAGGTGCATTGTACCCTTGCCTAAAAGAAATGGGGAGAGAAAAGAAAAGAAAAACAAAAGAAAAAAAAGAAGACCTGTCAAAAACTTCTGAAAAGGAAACTTCACCCACACTCTAGATTTTAAGTTTTAGTGTGCGTCACTGCATTAACTCAAATCATCTGCTGGCTTCTAATATAGCCAGAGTGAAGAGGGATTAGAACATCTGCCAGGTTTTCATTATTGCTTGTGCAATTCACCCTCCCTATATGTCCTGTTCATCATCACCAAAAGCGACAAAAAATCCTCCGATACACGTCACGTGACCAAGCTATTCAAATACTCCTTAGCTTTCTGTCATACGGAGTCCATCCTGATCAGTCCCCTTCCCCCTACCTCACGTTACAAAGGCCCTTGACACGGTCTGCTGCCAGGGTGGCTGGAGGGGAGTGGCACTACCTGTTCCTTTTCTCCTTAAGCTAGTTTATTGTGCTAGGTTCCGCTTCCCTTGTTTTTTCATTTGTTTCAGATTGTTTTCAAGTTGTTGGACACTCGAAGGCAGAGCTGCACAGTTCCTGACATTATTGTTTTATATCTGATCTTGGAGTCTTTAACTGCACGGGCTACACCTGTATGCACAGGGGAGATTATAATGGATTTTGTTGCCTTAGTTTTACTTTAAAGCGGATTATCCTCATGTTAAACTTCTCCCCAATCCAGACCCCATTCACATCACTTGCTGTGCTTCCTGGGATATGCATGTCACAAGCCAGCACGCTATTCAACTTAGCGACACCTTTACAGGAGTAAAAATAAGCACTGTGAGCAGTGTTAGTCTTAAATATTTGCTAAAGCAAATATAAAAATGCACCTATGTCAGGAATGCTGTGTCCTAGTAGTAAATACGCACAAAAAATAGATGCCAAGTGGTATCATTTTAAAACTTAAAAAATGAAAATCAACCCAAATCTTCCTCTATAGCTTCTGTCAAAAACTGAAGTAGAAAACTACCGAATAGTTTCTTACATCTCTTAGGGACCCCAATGAAGAGATTTTTCAAAATTCCTTTCTTGCGTAGCAATCACAGCCATTATTGTGGGAAATCAATCCCTTTTTGGATTTTTTATAGAATATTATTGAGAATGTTGTTACAAAGGACACTACACCCAAAACCCCAAGATAAATCAAATTTTGTAATCAGTGCTCTCTCTCAGAAGACAGGAACTTATAGCATAGCAATCATAGTGACCTATACGGTTCGGTCCATATATATTTGGACACAGGCACAATTTTAATTCTTTTGGCTCTGTATGCCACCAGAATAAATTAAAACAAAACAATCCAAATGGATTTGAAGTGCAGACTTTCAGCTTTAATTCAAGGGGATGAACATAAATATCAAGTACAAATTTTAGGCACTGCAACCATTTTTATACACAGTCCCTCCATTTTCAGGGGCTCAAATGTAATTGGGCAAATGAATATCATAAATAAAATGTTCATTTTTAATTTTGTTTGAAACCTTTACTGGCAATGACTGCCTGATGTCTGGAACCCATGGACATTGCCAAAGACTGGGTATCCCCTTTCTGATGCTTTGCCAGGCTCTAATTGCAGATGTCTTCAATTCTTTCTTTGTGGATCTTTCTGCCTTTAGTTTAGCCGTCACCAAGTGAAATGCATGCTCAATTGGGTTGAGATCAGATGATTGACTCGGCCATTGCAGATTATTCCACTTCTTTTCCTTCAAAAGCTCTTGGGTTGCTTTTGCAGTGTGTTTTGGATCATTGCGCATCTGTACTGTGAAGCGCCGTACAATTAACTTTGCTGCATTTGGCTGAATCTGGGCTGACAGTATAGCTCTAAACACTGAAGAATTCTTCCAGCTGCTTCTGTCACATCATCAATAAACACCAATGACCCAGTGCCACTGGAAGCCATGCATGCCCATGCCATCACACTGCATCTACCATGTTTTACAGATGACGTTGTGTGCTTTGGATCATGAGCTGTTCCAAGCCTCCTCCACACTTTTTTCTTCCCATCATTCTGGTACAGATTAATCTTAGTTTCATCCAAACAAAGAATGCTTTTCCAGAACTGGTCTGACTTTTTTTTAGATTTTTTTGGCAAAGTCTAATCTGGCTTTCTATTCTTCAGGCTTATGAATGGTTTGCACCTTGTGGTGAACCCTTCGTATTTGCTCTTGTGAAGTCTTCTCTTGATTGAAGACTTTGACAACGATATGCCCACCTCCTGGAGAGTGTCCTTCACTTGTCTGGATGTTGTGAATGGGTTTTTCTTTTCCATAGAAAGTATCCTGCGATCATCCACCACTGTTGTCTCCCGTGGACGTTCATGCCTTTTTATGTTGCTGAGCTCACCAGTGCGTTCTTCTTTCTTCAGAATGTACCAAACAGTTGATTTGGCCACTCCTAATGTTGCTATCTCTCTAAAGGATTTGTTTAGCTTTTGAAGCCTTACAATGGCCTGTTTCACTTGCATGGACAGGTCTTGTGAACGCATGATGTAGGTTCACAGCAATAGATCCAAATGCAAATACCACACTTAGAATCAACTCCAGACCTTTTACCTGATTAACTGATGAAGAAATAATGGAGTAGCCCACACCTGGCCATGAAACAGCTTCTGATTCAATTGTCCAATTACTTTTGGTCCCTTGAAGAAGGGGGGGTGTCTACTCTTAAGAACTGTAATTCCTAAACCATTCCTCCAATTTGAATGCACATACCCTCAAATTAAACATGACCGTGCGCACTTTCAGCCCATATATAACTATAGCCTGAATATGTTTTGGTAAATACCTGAAAAAAACTAAAATTGTGCCTGTGTCCAAATATATATGGACCTAACTGTAAGTAGGTTTGGGCATTGCATGTGGGGAGCCATGCAGTTCTCTGACAGGAAATCAGTGTTTTCATAGATGAGTCCAAAGGCTCTCTGGGGTTGCTGTGCAGTGATGAATACAGGAAACGTACTAATTTTTTCAGAGAAAGTGTTATTTAAAAACTTGCTTGAGTGTGGGTACAACTTAACTGTCATTAAGAAAATATATTAGTAGCCAATGCTAGCTTGTTTTTGTAGATTCTCATCTATGCAGTATTACTTAGTGAGTTACTAAGAAAGAGGAAGAATTTGCATATCCAGGGCTGGGACAGCTAACATACATATGCTTCTTCTAGGTCACTAATGGCAGCTTTGATAATTCTATCCTGACAGACTGCTTTAAAATGTATAGATAACAGTGCTGCTCGGGATTAAAAGAAGATTAGAGACATTCTATATGGGAAAGAAAAACTGCACTTCAAAGAAAGACAAACCTTGACGGTGGTCGGTCTGAGCAGTGACTAGACCTTGAGCTAGGTCGCTCTGGTTCTTGGTAAGGGTACTTGCCAGGGTTCACAAATCCACTATTACTATATTGTCTGTAGGCTGGGTCATAAGTTCCATAGGAGTCCTGCAAAAGAATATCTTGTGACCAGCGCATATTATAGATTGTTTCATTATGCATATAAACAGGCCACATACAGGAAAATTTTGATTTGTCAGACCAGAAATTTGGTAGAGTGACGACCTGCATATAACATTTTAACCAATCAGGTGGACACCATACAGATGCTGCTATATTCTACTTATGTGGCAGATCAAAATCGAATTGTGCTTGGTCAGTATTCGCTGTAAAATATTAAGGGTTTATATACACTCTGCATGTGCTGCTCAACGCAGACCCACTGCAATAACAAGCGGATATCCTATATTTCCGAAAGGCTCGCTTCACACCAGAATGCATTGGTGTGTGCTGGGTGAAAATGGAAAAGAGCAGTGCAAAGCTTCAAAGCACACCGCAACACATAAAGGAATGTAAAGTTAATGCTGTGGGCAAACCTGCACTTCAGTGTAAAGTCCCCCCCCCCCCCCCCCCCCCCCAAATGCAACCAAATAGTTTTTAAAAGATGGGTCTCAAGGGACAGCAACTCAAATTAATTCAATGCATATCAAGTGAATCAGTGTGAATACACCCTAAGCAGCAGCCCATTGTGAACTTATACAGATACAGTGGGTATAGAAGAGAATCACCCCCTTTAAAATAATCACATTTTGGTGCCTTGCAGCCTGAAATGAAGAGACACAGTTTTTGTTTTATCCAGCTGTGTGTACTCAGTGCAACTTATAACATCCAAGCGAAAGATATAAAACCAACATATCAGAAAAAAAGAAAAATTAAAAAAAACAGAATCCCTGAGTTGGAAAAAGGATCACATCTCCCCCCTAAAAATGGCATGTAAACTCTATGAGGTGTAGCTAATCACCTGCTCAGTGGCACACAAAGCCATTTGACTTTCAACTATGACAGGGGTGGGCAACTATGGCCCTCCAGCTGTTCGTGAACTATAAGTTCCATCATGCCTCTGCCTTTGGGAGTCATGCTTGTAACTGTCAGTTTTGCAATGCCTCATGGGACTTGTAGTTCTACAACAGCTGGAGGGCCACAGTTGCCCACCCCTGAACTATGACCATTTTGATTAACTCAGCTTTCTTGGAGCATTTCAGTCCCTGGTTTTGAAATTGAAGCAAACAATCAACTATGGGTGGCAAGGCACTGACAAAAGATCTCAGAGAAGAGAAGCACAGTGAAGTCTATTAATAAAAATTGGAAGGTATTTGGTACAACATAGACTCTCCCTGGATCAAGATGTTGCTTCAAACCGGATTAGAGAGCCAGGAGGAAATCCAATACAGCTCACCACCCAAATAACACCATTCCTACAATAAAGCATAGAGGTGGTAATATTCTATTATTGGGGGGGGGGGGGGGGGGGGGGGTCTGCAGCAGGGACTGGAGCACTGAGGATAGAAGGAAAAATGGATGGGGCAAAATACCATCAAATTCTTAAAGGAAAATCTGCTGCCCTCTGCCAGAAAGTTATCAATGGGAAGAAGGTTTACCTTCCAACATGACAATGACCCAAAGTACACAGCAAAAATGACCACACAGTGGTTGACTGAGAACAAGGCGAATGTCCTTGCATGACCTAGTCAGAGCCCAGACTTAAACTCCATTTAAAATCTGTGAAATGCCTTGACGACTGTAGCCCACAAATGGTCACCATCAAATTTAACTGAACTCAAGCAGCTCGGCAAAGAAGAAATGGCAAATATTGCAAAGTCTAAATGTGCAAACTTAGTAGAGACATACCCCAACAGACTAAAGGCTGGAATTAAAGCAAAAGGTGGTCCAACAAAATATTGACACAAGGGGGGGATCCTTTCTGCAACTCAATTATTCTGAGTTTTGTTTTTCTGACACGTTGGTGTTATATCTTTCCCTTAGATGCTAGAAGTTGCACTAGGTAAATACAGCTGTATAAAACAAAAACTGTGTCTGTCTTTACTTTAGGCTGCAAAACAACAAAATGTGACTTTTTATTTATTTATTTATTTATTTTTTAAAGGGGGTGATTCTTTTCTATACCCACTGTGCTTATAATTTAAACACCGTCTTATGCAAATATAGGTAATGCAAAGCATGACGAAAAGATAGGACTTTGTTTTCAGCAATAATTACATTAAAAACACAAAATATGACAAAAATAGTAGATAAAAACGCATTGAAAGTATTTAAGGAGAACAATTTAGTTTCACTAAACCCACTTTAGAAAACCTAACAAATGCTGTTATACATGCTGTTCATTCTCAGTCACTATAAGATTCATTTTCTGTATTTTGCAAAACAAAAAACTAGTTGATCCTGCTGTTCTCTATCTCTGCCTTCTGTTCATGTCCCCAGTTCAGCTACGGATTTTGCAGCTGTAGAGGCAACTCTGCACATGCTCCATTTTCAGCAAGTATCTATGCTGAGCATTTCTTCCGCATCACATCTGAGCAGCCCATGTGACTATGGTCACACATGTGGGCATATACACAGTGGTAAATGACACCCCATTCCCTCCCTCCTCTTCTATGCCCATTAACCAGCTAAAACACAATGGGGGCAGGATATTACATGTAGATTAATGGAAGAATCACCTCCCTCTTATTCTAAGACACAGGCTGGAGGGGTGTGACACTGCCTGTGACTGGCAGAAACCAGCCCACACCATGTTAGTTTCACAAAATGCTAAAGATTTAATTTTAAATATATATTTGTATGCCAATTTAGAATAATTTGATATTTATTTTTACTCAGTATTTCAAAGGCTATTTTTTAATTTTCAACATGAGACCAGTGGCAGAGGACTAGAAAGTCCTCCTGCTTATGTTTCCCTGCAGACAAGCTGGGAAAGATCTGGGTCATGCGACAGCTGTATATTGCTCAAGAAAAAAGGTACTTCTATTTTATTAAAATAATTACAGTACCATGCACCTACAGAAATAGAAGGGATAATGTAAATTAAACTGTGTGTTTAGTAACACTAACAAAGAAAGTGTGTGTGTATATATGTACCTCTAAATAAATACATATACACAATATAATTAGGCCACATGCACACTGTATTCTCGATTGTGCCTTTTCTCGCACAGGACTTTAGCAGAAGAAAAACACTGTTAAAAGCCGTTTCTGCGTGCAAGTTCACATGCAGTAACGCATCTGGTATTAATTAATACATTCTATTGGGCACAATGACAATTTTTTCTGGCCATTAGGATTTTTTAACACATGAACATGTATAAAATGCACCTAGCGTTAACAGCCGTTCAGGAGAGCAGCTTTTGAGAATAAAAAAAAGCTCAAAAGCACCTAAACGTGATGTTGGTGGGGGTTTTTTCTGTCTCTAAACTGTAAATGCCTATAGTGCGCATAGACACATAGGTTAACATGGGGCCTAATAAAAATTAAACTAATGTAGAAATAAAGACAAATATAGGATTTTTGGTTTACCTGTACAATATGGGACACAGAACATCTTCATATCCATGACAATGTTATGCTGCCACCTTCAGGTCACTGAACACTAGCAAAAACAGGAAATTCTCTCCAGGTACCCGCTCCCACTTTCAATCGTATCATTGTGGTGATCCACCAGAAGTTCTCCTACCAAGTCCCCCCTGCTGGAAACATATGAGACACGCCAAAGCTTGCTGCTCATAGTAAACATGCTGGTCCTAGGAACTCGAAGACTGTCAAAGAAGCAGTTCGGGTTAAAATGGCACTAGACTCCTTGGCAGGTGCGTGTCCTTTTATTAAAAGTCAGCAGCTACAATATATGCTAACTTTTAATTTTTTTCAAACTGGGCAAAGACATTTTAAACACCCGTTAGACAAGGCTTAAGTTTTTGTAGCAAGTCATGAACCACAAAGAAGAGTGTCAGGATCTCTGAATCCAATGAAGTTCTCCAAGAAAAGGATTTTACAAATTAACCAAAAATCCCATTTTCTTCATCGTACCTCAGGAGAAAAAAACAGAGCATCTTCATATTCATGAAGATGTCCCAAAGCAACAAATATGGAGGAGAAGGCAACTGACCTCAACAACCAAACCAGAACTGATTAGAAACTCACGCAGCAGCCTGCAAAACAAACCAACCAAAGGTAGTGTACTCAGCAGCTCTAACATTCACCTGGTAATACTTCGTAAAAATATGAACCAAAGACCAGGTAGCAACTTACACACTCGAGCTACTGAGGCATGATGAGGATGATGACTAGGCAAGGAAGCACCAACACATCAGGTAGAATGAACCTTCAGAGAAGAAGTAAAAGGAATATTCCAAATAGGTATATTAAATATATAGCTATAGAAAGTACAGAGTAAGTTGACCAGAAAAACAATAAGCATGACACCTTTGCAGGCATCAAGAAATGTGAGGCAACTAGTTTGGGGAAAAAAAAAAAAAAAAAAAAAGCTGACGAAATATGACTCTTGATTGTATTAAGGCCAATCCCAAAAGATTTCCATGTTCTATGCTAATTCTTCTTTGAAGTCGCATTGCTAACATTCAGTCGAGTAGCAATTACTTCATCAGACACTGGGGTGCAATGTAGGGCCCAGTGTCAGAAAGTTGGGTCTCCATCAGAGGTCATGGGTCTTACAGCAGAACAATGACCCGAAACACACATCAAAAAGCACCTAGAAATGGTTTCAGACAAAGCACTGGGGAGTACTGAACTGGCCAGCAAAGAGTCCAGATCTCAATGCAATAGAGCACATGTGGAGTGATCTCAAAACAGCAGTTGGGAAAAGGAACCCTTTCAATCGGAGAGACCTGGAGCAGTTGGCAAAAGAAGAGTGGTCCAAAATTCTAGTAGAGTGGTGTAAAAAATTAATTTATGGTTACAGGAAGTGACTGATTTCAGTTTTTTCCAAGGGGTGTGCTACCAAATATTAAATTGAGGGCGCCAATAGTTTTGTCCAGTCCATTTTTGGGGAGTTGCGTGGAATGGGTCAGATTTGGCTTTGTTTCTCAACTTTGTGTCATACACAGGGCTCGACAAATCCCAGGTACGAGGTCGCCATGGCGACTAGAAATTGCGTCCTGGTGCCTGGGTTCATACATTGCCTCCCATAGATTTGAATGGGAAATTGAGCCCAATAGACTTTAGGACGCAAATGCCTCCCAACAGACTTCTGTGAACGAATGAACTGCTAGTCCCGACAGCCTTAGCAGCTGTCAGCTTGTAGTTTTCAATGAACTACCACAGTGCTGTGGAACGCTAGTTCATTGAATCTTCTGAGATAACCGACTGCCAAAGCCATACTCCATTTCTTAGTGATCTCACTCTCCATGGGGCATTGCTCAGCAATACATTTAGGCAGAACAAACACTTTGCCAGGGGGAGCCCAAGTGAAGATGTAGTGAGCGATTGAGGGATGCTGTGGCATGATCCAAATCCTGTAACCTCTGGAGTAGAGGACTCCAGAGGTACTTTCAAATGAGTCATGACAACTTCACTTTCATGAAAAATCACAAAGGCCTTTTGGGTCTCAGCTAAACCCCGACCCTGGGGTTCTTCAGGAGTATATTCCCCAGATGAGAATTCTTCTGTGTCCTCTTCTACCAGAACATTCTCATCTTCTTCTACCTAGTCCTCCACTGGTTCCTCCTCCACTTGCAAACAAAGCAGTCCAAGCCAGCACAAATTCCAGAGATCTGCTGCTGTACCCCAGCAATAGCAGATTTGAATTCCTCTGTTGTCACAAAGAAACTGGAGGAAGGTGCCCCAAAGTAGTGGAAATATCAGAGACATGGGGGAAGTCTGAGCTGTATGGAACAAACTGACCTCCATGGGATACATTACACCGGAGGCTGCATCCAGCTTCAACCCTGAAAAAAGTATACATAGCATACATCCCCTTCTCTCTGCCAGCGATCCAACTCAGTCGAGAGGGCACTGAGCCAAAAGGTGCCAGTGCACCAACTACCCAGGGATATTTCACACGGTGTGGTCTCAATACTTGCTGTGACCTGTAGTCCTCTAAGGAATACATGTGCAAAAACTAAAAAATGGCTCTGACAGTGAAAGGGTTAAAGGATAGGTTCAGGAACATGTTACATGTTCCGCCTGTTTTCAGGGTGGAACATGTTAAATTCCTGCAGCGGCTCGACAATCAGGCATCCTTTGCCGAAGTTGTCTTGTAGTTCTCAATGAACTTTATTTATTTTTTTTTTAAGGTGATCATATCTTTTAACAGAGCGGACACAGGAACTTGATTTGGCTGCTCAGAAGGCGCTTGTACTGTGCAACCAAGTGCTTCCCTGTGCTATGGTAGCCTAAAGGAAAAAAGTGTTTTGTTTTCGTTTTTTTTCATTGGGGCTGGCACCTCATTTACTCGCCCAGCAGATGCGCGTCTGCTGAGCCTTAAGAGAGCCCGACACTCCCCTTTCCCGATGAGCACCCAATCACACTACAAGGTCTCCCCCATCCTTGCTAGACTCTGGGTGCGGTGCTAGAGAAAGGCAGGGAGGGAAGTAGGAGATAAACAGCACAAAGTTAAAATCATTAAACGTTTAAAGCCCCTTTCGTTTTTAAAAGCCAAAGACATTACACAAAGCAGCTCAGATTTGAATACGGTTTAGGGTACAGTTTTTTTGCAGGACAAAGTAAATTGTCGTGAGGGACAAGCAGATAGGGACCCCGATTTAGTCCCTTGGACAAAGTTTAAAAAAAACTTCCACATCCCTGCCAGTGGCAAAGGCGCCATTCTTGCTGCGACCTGAAGTCCCACTAGAAGCTGTCCCCTGGAGCTTGCTGCCAATACATATGTGGTGCAGTCAGAGTGCACCACCCCACTGCACATGCGTATACAGTCCCGTTCCTTTGAATGAATGCTGATGGAAGAGAACTCAATATCTCCTGCATTTGGTGCTCAGGGCCACCAAAACTTCCCCTAAGCTCCACTACTGGTATGCAGCACTCAAAGTGGCCCAGAAGGCGAAGAGTGAACATTAAGCAAAACAAACAAGAGGACCACCGCACTGAGGGGGGGCTGGAGGGGCACTAGCAAGCACTACCCAAGGAAACTCACCAGTCTACACCATCAGACCCCTTAGGGGTCATCACCTATCATAGTGGGAAATGCCACAAGGACCTTCAGTGACTCAACTTCCCTTCTGGGGATCACTGCCCTAAACCTGTGTAGCACCCTACTGGTCTGCAAGGCAAATATTGGCATTGCAGGCCAGCCCAACATGCCCAGAGTGGGGTTCAGGTAGAATTCCTATAAGTTTAGAGAAGCTGTAGGAAAATAAATCTAGAAAAAAAGCTAGCCTCCCAATCCCAGATTGAACCGTTGATAAGCTAGCTACTTTTTTGTGCAGAGACTGTCCAGGTATGACCATCACCTAAACTAGCAAAAAACTAAAGCCTTATTCAAAAGGAAGTGTTTATGCAAGATGATTAGCTGTCTTTTATTGCCAGTATGGATATGAAGATGCGCTGTGTCCTACAATTTACAATTTTATTTTCCACTTCTGCAGAAAGTGGGAAGGGATTAGAACCTCAGTTAGGTTTTTACTGATGTGGATCTTTAGTGGAAATTTAACTTCATTTCTAAGAAATGACAAAAAAAAAAAAAAAAACTCACTCATGTTCCACATTAAAGGAGATTTCGCATTAGGCTGGTAATGCAGTGCTATTGGCTATCTTTCTTCAGAATTCAAAAAACTAGACTATCAAAGTAATTCGTGAAAAGTGATTTTTTTCCAAATCTTGTTACAAAAGAGCGTTTTTCTGAAATGATAGGGTTATTTTAGATAGTGTTATTCTTCAAGCTTTTGTAAAGGGCATGCCAAGTGGAGCTTTTACCTGGTAGTAGAGATGAGAGGCTCGAGGATCCACGGGTGGATATGGCTGTGGATAAGCTGATGGGTATGTACCATACCCTCTGTAGTAATAATAAGGATCAATTTGTTGTGGCGTTTGAGAAGTAGGCGGTCTTGCCTGTTCTGGATACCCAACAGAGTGGCTGGGAATTGCTGGTGCAGATGAGGTTGATACAGGATGAGGGGGGTAAGCTTTCTGCTCAGAAGACTCATATTTAGGTCCTGGCTCTGAAGTGATGCTGTACCGTAGATCTGCAGGATTCTGGGCACTTGGCACCGGAGGTTCAAGCTGTGGTGGATAAGTCACAGGTTTAGGTCCAGAAAGTACCTGCCCTGGGGGAGCTCCTGGTGCAGCCTGAGAAACAGGAGTCATGTACTCATGAGAAGGCCCTGGTCCAGGCTGCAAAGTCTCCAATGAAGGCTGCTGTTTAACATCTTTAGTAACCTGCTGATAAAAACCTGGTCTGTTAATATCTGGCCCAGGCTGGAAATTCGGGACATTGCTTAACTGATTTGGATAGTTAGGGACACTTATAGGAGGTTGATTCTGGATTGGAGCGTGAGCATTAGCATTTTGATTGGTAGATGTACGAGGCACAGTAAAATCAAGAGCACCTACATTTTCCACATGATTGCCAACCAAACTCCCAAAGACAGCAACTGCCCCAGCAGCATTTCCCACTGGTGCATGAGACCCCGATACAGGAACTGAAGATTTTATTGACTCAACTGCTACACTTTCTGTCTTACCATTTTTTTGCTCCTCCACGACCAAACTGAGCGGAAGTTGATTGGATGAGGATGGCTTAACATTTTGGGGCAGACTGGGAAAAGTTTCAGAAATCGATCACTACCAGGGGGAAAATTATTGAGAGAATTAGGTATTTTAAGCGAAGGTCCAGGCTGAACCAGAGCAAGAGAAGCATTCGGAGCAGGAATATGATTACCAGTAAGAACTGGTCTGTCAGCAGCTGATGGATCTTTTGCAGAATTAAAGTTTTTGATTTGATTGGGCAAAGACAAAGAAAAATTAATAGGCTGTGCCAAATTATAGTTTTTGTTTGGTTGAGCAATTAGAACAGGTTGATTTTGCAAGGAATCTGTGGGTGGGGAAGACAACAAACTGGCATATCCAGAACTTGCCTGTGATGGAGGATGTTCGTCGTCTCCTATTTTTGGAGGGTTCTCAAGATTTTCTGAAGAGGTATGCTCCTCTGGCATTGTCACAAACTGCGCTGGGTCAAGCTTGAGGTTTTGCGCATCCATAGCCCCGTCCTCTGGAGGCTGTATTACTTCATTTTGGGGTTTTGGAGGAACATAAACAGCAGGAGCTGGTGGGAGCCAGTAAAACATTGCCTCCAAAATTGGGCAGTTCTCCTTGGGCCCACAGAGTAGTTGCAGGGCTTTCACACTTTTTATTTGACCCATGAGCTCTCGAAGATGGACGTTTATCCAGCAATAGGCTATCAAAAGCTGGAACTCCAAAAACAGTTCCACTGGTTACATTCAAAACTTCAGCATTAGCACCGCCAGTAAAAAGAGTTTCCAAATTATCAGGAGGTTGCTCTAAATTTCCAGGGGAAACTGCTGACGTGGCATTGTTGGAAGTGTTTGATACATGTTTGTTGGCATCTCGAACTTCACCAACTATCTTTGACTGGTCTATATCAACTGGTTTTACACCTATGTATGAACGAACAGGTTCAAAAGAACTGTTTACACTGGCCTGAAATATTCCAGTAGGTTTTGGTGGACTTGGTGTTGGAGGCTGAGACAAATTACCAAGGAAAGTTTTCTGCCCCATAGCTTGTACATTAGAGTCTTTACCCAATGGGGAAGAATCAATTTGCTTAAAGAAATTGTTGGTACTCTCATTCTCAAGTTTCCCACTTTCCTTCTGAATAAAGGTGCCTACCAGTTCCTGAGGTCTTGTCGACATGGAAAGACTTCGGTGACTTAAGTTACTATAGTTTGAAGATACGCTGTCAGATCGAACAGGACGTGACACCCCATCAGGGGCCTCCAAGTTTGGACCTCCTTCAATGTGGATGGGGATATTCTTAGGGAGACCTGGCCCAGGTACAGATCCATACCTAAACCCTTCTGAATTTAAACCAGTAGGGAAAATGTTATTGTGGGGTTCATTTGGTAAAACTTCCAGGTTCTGAACACACTCTATATTTTCTACATCATAAAGCGGTTCAGACCCACCTTTGGCTTCTGTAGGTTGGTTATCAATGTTGTCTACTTTCCAAACTACATGTGGATCTTGAAAACTACTGGCAATCTCTGACACCAATAATGGAGTATTTGTAACAGCAGGGTGAAATGGTGATGATGGAATTGTCTGGGTGTTTGAAACAGCTGGCTGAGTTTGTGAAAGAGACCGTATTGCCGAGTGCCCAATATGTTGACAGGAAATGTTACTCGCTTGCTTACTAGCATATTGCTGCTGTTCAGTTGAGAGAATTTCAATATTTTCTGCTTCGTCCCCTTTAAAATATGTTGATACAGTTCCCAAATTAACTTCGCTGCCTACAATTTGTGCAGATTCACTCTGGGGCTTATTTTCAGGTACTGGTAAGGGAGCCCCAGGTGGTAAAGTGGCAGAACTAGGTAATAGTGGGTTTTGCTGTGGTTCTTGGTAGGCTTGACCAAACCGGCTGTTCTGTTCAATATTTTGGTTTTGCATATAATCCATTGGGATAGTGTTGTTGAACTGTGAAACATTTTGCTGTTGGATGTGATTAGAACTGCTAGTAAGTGGGTAAGGTGCTGGAGCAGTCCTATGTGGTGCTGAGAAGTAGGTTTGATCACTGGATTGGGGTGGCAGGTGGGAAACCTCTAAATAAGGAGGGGAATAATAAGGGGTATTGTAAGCGGCATGTTGAGCAGTTGGAGGGAAATTCTGACTGGAGGTAGGTGGTGCAGCCTGAGTAGACCCCCAAGGCATTGCGGTTTGTTGGGAAGATGAGGGAGGATATGATTGTAATGGTGCTGAAACTTTGCTTCCATTACCCCCTTCTGTAACAACACTTTGCCTACTTTGAGATGTGCCCTGACTTGGCATTGACACATTTTCCAGTCCTCCTGTGATGGTATGAAGAGATGTCGGGGCTGAATGAGCCAATCCCATTTGCATGGTAGGTGCGGGAGCCATGCTGTTTGAGAAATGCCCACTAGGCAACAACGGAGGAGATACACTGCTGTGCATGGCTGCTCCTGCACCAAGTTGTGGAGTAGAACTTGGTATGCATGCATGACCACCAGCCAAGGATTGGTCAGCAGCAGAGGGAGGACCAGGTTGTGGGTACAGTGAAGTTGATGGACCGGGCATAGTCAGCATATTTGACTTTGGTGCATTTCCTGGAGCCATACTTTGAGGAGTCATCCTGCCAAATGCAAAGGGGTCAGTGACTGGCTGCACCGGAGGGGCTGCCATTGCTGATAGAGTAGGAGTTCTTTTATGCCAGTATGGATTAGTGGTCATTCCCATGCGAGGAGGTCCACCCATCCCTGAAGGACCAGCTGGAGGAGGTGGCTGCATGTTTTTCTTCTACTTGCTGTAGAGCCCAAATTTTTTTGTATAAAAAAAACTGCAGGTTAATCCTGAAAGAACAAAAAGAAAAATATAACTTGTACAAAAATCAAACATAAGTACAGCAACCAATCAAAGATCCTCTTGCACTTTTCTGACTATATCAAATTGCCAAAATCTGACATGGGTTACTGCACAGGAATGGAAGAACTATGAAAAGAAAGATTGTCATGGCATGTTTGACCTAAAGCAGTTGTAAGGCTTAACCGTTTGTTTTTTTTTTGTCTTTTTCGTTAACACTTATTCACTCTGTGCAATGGTATTGTGCAGTGGCCCTAAATCTCCTCTTCTGGGGTCCCCCCTCCTGATAGCGCTGTAGGCTCCTCTTCTCATTTGCCACCATAGGAAGCTGCTTCCTATGGGCGTGCTCCTGCAAGCTCGCTCTCGAACCGGGTCATGTGCATCTGTAGACACACACAGCCCGGCTCCACCCCCATTCCCTCCTCACAGGATCTGATTGACAGTAGCATGAGATAATGGCTCCTGATGCTCTGAGTGCTGTGAGGAGAGGAAGACAGTAGCGTTACTACACTCGAGGACAGCTCTAGATTAAGATAGGATAGGCAAGTTGTAAGTGAAGTAAGGGAGCAATTACAAATGCTGGGACATGTTTTACCTTAATGCAAGGAATGCATTAAGGCCAAAAAAAAAAAAGTCCTGCCTCTAGATCCACTTTAAATAACTACAGACCAGCTGTTAATAAGCAATAACTTTCATTTCATACCATGCACTGTATCTCTAAGAACAGAAATGTGGGAGCTGCCATTGTGAACTTTATCAATGTAAATAGACACACTTGACTTGTTTTTAGTTTCCTAGAGATTCACCTGCTCTGTGTGCATAGGAGGCAGCACCTTTTGATATATCTAGGAATTGTAGCTTAATATTTGTCCAGTTACTTGTTTACCTTAACGACCATGCCATTTTTTGATATTCATCACTGCGCTATTTTAACTGGCAATTGCGCGGCTGTGAAAAATGAAATTTATATACTTTTTTCACACACA